GTTAATTGATACAGTACGTTGGCTCACTTTACTGCAAGTTTTTTCAACAACTACGTATAAGTTGAGTGAACTTAACACCTAATGTTTGCTAAACTTAACTGAGTCAATGCAACAAGACTTGACTAAGTCAAGTTGTGTCAACAAATAATTTTTTACAGTGTAGCTGGTACATTTTTTTTACACAATTGAGCGTCACTCACCAAACATTTAATTTCAAACTGCCGATAGGTACAACCAATGTAATAAAACATTGCCAGATTCATGTTTATCTGTTTTGGATAAAACTAAATGTGCTTTTAGCGCCACTCACTGGCCATTTCACTTTGAAAGTGTGACAGAAGCAAGCAAAATATTATTTTCCAGTAATGTCGCTATAGGCACATTTTTTTCAATGAGCCTGAGGAGATACATATGTATGTATGTTTGTGTGTGTGTGTGTGTGTGTATATATATATATATATTTTTTTTTTTTTTTACATTTTACCTTATTTGTATAGTTGTATTTTATATTTAATCTGTATATCTGTATTTATGTTCTACTGTTAGTGTTATCTGTATGCACCAAGGGTCTGAGAGTAACGCAATTTCAATTCTCTGTGTGTATGTGCTGTACATGTGGAAGAATTGACAATAAAGCAGACTTGACTTGACTTGATATATATATATATATATATATCATAATGATCATATGTCTTTCTTCCTGTTATCTCTCTTTCTCTTTCAGAATTACTAAAGAACCGCCACTTGGGATGGCCTTCACCAGCCCTACCATGCAGATATTAGCCATGTGAAAGATCTGGAAAAACAAAATGGGTATGCAAATCTATACATATTGTATTCAAGTATTATTGTTACTAGTTAGTTAATAATAAATAAATGTTTGCTAATGGGGTCATATAATGAAATACCATTTTGAAATTTGATGTACTATGTGAAGTTTTACAATTTCGAAGAAAAAAGTTTATTATGATTGATTTTTGTGTAGAAACATTGACTAACATTATACGCTGACCTCAGGGAAAATAAAATTAGACAAATGTATGATATGACCACTTAGAAAAAATTACGTTAGATAATGTAATATTAAAGCTCATGTTTTTCCTCATGTTTGAGCTTCATTAGCTACATCCATGTACAATATCAAATAGCGCTTAATGGAAACTGCTCTGCATTACACCGGAACTTTTTCCCATCTTGTCTGTTTGTCAAACACCTTTTCTTGATATCTCATGGCTGAAACTGCTCTTTCATAACTTGAGCTGAATATGCTGAGGTCATCTCTTCTAGTTTGTTGTTGCTTTACATAATTTTCTCTCTTAATGAGCACAAAGGGTGGCACAGTGTTATTTTATTATCATTGAGATACTATTATAGTTTTTATTTTTATATATTCATTTTAAAGTTTTAGCAATGTTGTGTTTTGTCATTTTATTAGTTTTTTTTAATATGTCTATGTAGTTTTTATTTTTGATTTCAGTTTTATTTTTATTTTAGTACAGCAAGTAAAACATAAAATGCTGCTTTGGCAAGTAGCTGAAATACAATAAGTTTAAATTTGGTTTTATTTTAGTTAACATTTATTTTAAGCATGTTTTTTTTTTTTTTACACCAATAATAACCCTGTGGTGATGAGTCGTACTTGGGAAATTGCAAAATAAAAATACAAATAATAAGCTACATCTGCAAGTCTCCCATTGATTTGAACAGGCTATGATGTTAGCTTCTGTTAATTTCAGAATATTGCTGGCCCTGTGCTTTTTTTGGTAATAGTAATACATTTGAGTGTTTTATTTTAAGGACATATTTATTTAACATTGTACAGTAAACGATGTTTGAAAATGTTGGATGGCCATTTACTATCAAACTGAAAATGTGGATCCTAAAGCTCCAGTTTTTGAAGGTAATAATCTGCAGTTATTCCCTCTGTTACTCATGCACTTCAGTTCTGGACTGAATTAGGCCATACAGACTGAAATATTTCATTGAACAGTACATAGTAGAGATGCTCTGCAGGGACTTTTCATGAAATGGCTATGATATGAATATGGCTCATTTCAACAAATAATGGCTGGCTGGCAGAATGTAGGGCAAAAGCAGCGAGTCATGTTGAGGGGAGAGACGCTGCATTTATAGAGAAGACCTCCCTCTGCTGGCAATATTATGCATTACTCCTCAGAATGAGTAGATCCCAAATACAGCAGCACAGTGTGTTAAACAATAATAATGATGATAATAAAAATACAATATTTTATTTTAAATCATAATTTATATTTAATAGGCTTAATAAAACAATTTAATACACCAATTTGGACACAAAATGTGACCCTGGACCACAAAACCAGTCATAAGTAGCACGGGTATATTTGTAGCAATAGCCAAAAAATACATTGTATGGGTCAAAATTATCAATTTTTCTTTTATGACAAAAATCATTAGGTTATTATGTAAAGATCACGTTCCATGAAGATATTTTGTAAACTTCCTACTGTAAATATATCAAAACTTAATTTTTGATTAGTAATATGCATTGCTAAGAACTTCATTTGGACAACTTTAAAGGCGATTTTCTCAATATTTAGATTTTTTTTTTTTTTTTTGCACCCTCAGATTCCAGATTTTCAGTTGTATCTCGGCCACATATTGTCCTATCCTAACAGACCATACATCAATGGAAAGTTTATTTATTCAGCGTTCAGATGATGTATAAATCTCAATTTCAAAAAATGTACCCTTATGACTGGTTTTGTGGTCCAGAGTCACAAATAAGGTGTAATGTGTGTGCTTGTGTGTTGTGTTCCAGGGATGGCTGAGAGGTCGTGTGTGGCGGTGAGCAGCTGAGGTCGGCTGTGATCTGAGTCTTCTCTTCTGACTGAGAGCATGTACAGAAGGAATGGACTCCCTGCCAGCATCAGCATCACCTCCCGCCACACACAGGTACTAAAACACATCCTATTTGTTCACTAAATAGTTCAACTCTGACCGTTACACCTGGCGAGCAATTTTATACATTGCTGTGCCATGGATTTATCTATTTTATTTTATTTCATTTCATTTTGTGTTATTGCCTGAATTGAGATTGTAAATAAGGATAATCAGCTGAAGCATCAGCACTGAACATTAAACTGTACGTAATGGATTATAAATTAAAGATTTATTGCTGCTGATCATTATAGCCTCAGTGGTGTGTGTGATTGCTCAGAAGTTGATTGGGGTCGCTGTTGAGTCTGAACTGAATGTTGTGTACAGCATCCAAGTTAGATCACATGATATTGGCTTGCTGAGGGGAATCAGATCAGATCAGAGAAATAGCAGCTTGTTGGCCCATCAGTGCTGATCAGGTCAAATACACACTGGCAGGATGTTATGTCACTGACATACCGTGTGAACTCGAACTCACAGATAGTTCAGAAGATGTGACACATTGTGTTTTCCACTTATAGGTTCATAAAGTCTTAACTAAGTTCATAAAGTCTATTTATTATTATTATTACTGTGTTGCCAGTTTGTAATTATTTATGGAATGAGAATTTTTTCAGCATTGATTCTTATTATATTTATAAAGCAAACTGAGACCGTTTTGTAAGAGGAGTTGGTCTGCATTGGAACAGAGGACATACTAAAAGATCTTTCAAAACTGTTTTCACATTGATGTTGTCCAAATGAAACTGCCAGTTAGGAGTTTAATTGCAGCAGTGATGCATATTGCCTCAATTTTCTTAGTGGCTATTTAGTTTATTTGGAAATAATATGTGAGTTTATGGTTGGCTCAGTCTTATAGGCTTTGTATTTAACTGATTACCTTCAGTTGATGTATTTTAAGTCAACACATTACTGTTGTGAAACCTCAGTATTAAAACACATGGGAGCATAGAAAAAGGCCAAAGAAATAGGGATATTGGCAATCATGAATATTTATTTAAAGATTCAACAGAGAAACCATTTATGTCCCAAAAGTGAAATGTGCTAATAATTTGTAACATTAAAGAATAAGAAAAATGATCTTAGACTGAGAAAGAGAAATGGTTTCACAGACTACCCATGAAGCCATCCACTCTTACATTCATGATACAGACACAATGTACTAAAGCTTGATAATTAAAACCCATTACCATTTAAAGGTTTGGGGTTGGTAAAAATTGTATTTATTTATTTAAAAAAAAAAAAAACTACAATAAAAACAGTAATGTTTTGAAATCTTAATACCATTTAAAATAACTTTTCTATGTTAATAAATTTTAAAATTTAGTTCATCTGTGTTGGAAAACCTGAATTTTCAGCATCAGTACTCCAGTCTTCAGTATCTCATGATCTTTCAGATATCATTCTAATATGTTGATTTGTTTTCAAGAAACAATTCTTATTATTATCAGTGCTGATGAATAAAAAGAACCGCATTTATGTGAAATAGAAATCTTTAGTAACATCATAAAATTCTGTCACTTTTGATCAATTTAATACATCCTTGCTGAATAAAAGTATTAATTTCTTTAAAAAAAAAAAATAATAATGATAGTAATCTTATCTTACTGACTTCAAACTTTTGAATGGTAGTGTACACATTGAATAGTAATAATCTGAAATGAGGGCATGAATGAATCTTCCAGCAATTAAGAGTGCACACAGAGCAGATAAGACAGAGATTCTGCATCAGTACGGATATTACACTGGATGGAATGGGGGAACTTCAAAGGGGATCTGTCAGGATAATTTGCTGAGAAGAAACCATCTTTTCATTGTGACTGTATCTTTCCTTCTCTGGCCTTTGTTATGTGGTCTATTTTTGTCTGGCTTTAATTACAGTATGTGCTGGATTGCCTGTTAATAAAGTGATTTGGTTGCATTTTGATCCATTTTTACCATCTGTGCTGAATAATCAAATGGAATGAAGTAATTCAAATGGACAATGGTAATTAAACTGATTAAATGTCCACAGGAAGAGTGCCATGGCCATGGCTCTTTGTCCATATGGATTTTATAGGTGTTTGAAATATCAACCCTGATATTATGTTGAGTTTTTCTGTCTCTTTCCAGCCTAACTGTCTTCCTCCTGTGTTTGCAGGACAGCAGTAGTTCAGAGTCCCTGGATGGACGGAGTTTGGACTCTGCCAAGAGCTTTGACGCGGTGGTGTTTGACATGCTCAAAGTGACACCCGAGGAGTTTGCTGTAAGTTTATAAATGCTCCAGAGTCAAAATGTGACACTGCATTCATTTTTTTTTTAAATATGAATATGTTGATGCAAGTACAAATTGCTTCAGTTGTGTAAATGACCACTAGTTGTGATAAAAGTCCTACAACTTTTATGCATCCAAAAATATGCAAAAATGCTGCAGGGGTGTGAACTCCATGAATCGGTGCTCTTTGGAATCATCAAAAACTCAACAATCCAAGGCAAATATTAGTTCGATTGACATATACAACAAATATTAGAGTTTAACAAAGTAAAAGATTATAAAATTATAAGATTATATTAATTATAAAAAGAGTAAAAAAAAAAAAAAGTTTATCAGTTAATAGAAGCATAAACTTAAGTCTTTTTCTCACATAAAACTTGTCTCTTCTGAATGTTGAATTAAAAATCTAATTTAAAATGCACATACGAGTGATGGTTTGAGGTTTTTAAAATTAGTTGATTATAGGACATTAATATTTTAACTGTATTAACGCCTCATCTGTATTGGAAAAAAATAAAACTCAGTTTTAGTGCCACTCGGTGAGGGTTTGGCATGGAAACTGCAGTGATTTAAAACTAGGGCAACATATTTCAGTTTTTTTCAAAAACATATGCATCACTTTTAAGTAAAATGTGCACAATGGGCTAGTTATGAAATTTCATCTTTCCATCTCACAAATGTAATATACCAGCTCAAGGGAAGCATTTAATTACCTATTCATTAGATATGGCTCTTTTTATATTTATAGAAACCCACTATGCTCTATTAAAGATGCATTAAGTAACTTCTTCCACTGTTAAAAAAAAAAGTAAAAAGAATAAGTTTCACCCCACAAGAAATCAATAGTACTTTTATAAAGTAAAACTGAAATATTTATAACTCCCAGAAACAAAAAAAATCCACGTAAACGAAAATTACTTACTGCACCTTTAAAGTGCCCCATTTAAATATGTTAATGTAATAGTTCACCCCAAAATTGTCACTATTTACTTTTTTCCCATACATTGAATTGAAAGCAAATGGTGACCACAGATGACGACGGTCTCCATCTGCTTTCATTATACGGAAAAGAGCAGCTTGATCATTCTGCTAAACATCTCCTTTTGTGTTCTATGCATGAAAGAACATCATACAGGTTTGGAATGACATGAGGTTATTAAATGATGATTTTTGAGTGAACTTGGAGTGAATCTTTTTTATGAAATACTCAGTTTAACACTGTAGCTTTTATTTTGCAGAGTCAGATCACTTTGATGGACGCTCCTGTATTCAAAGCGATACAGCCTGAGGTGAGACAGATATCCATGGCAACTAAATACACATCCTCTGTTTTTATCAAGCCACACAGAAACCCACAGCTGTGGACTGATCTCATGTGCTCTCTGGTGCTACAGATTAGAGTGACGTGGCACTATAACAGTGCATTAACGACACACATACACACACCACGGTACCCACAGCATCTAGCTCCACATTCTTCGATTACTTTAACCAGAGCCTCTCCTCTGCTCTGAGTTACAGAGCCCTCAGTACTTTCCTTAATGAATGTTTTATGTGAAGACGACAATGGAAAGGCGCTCCTAATAGATATGATAGGTTTGGACAAGGATCAGTGATCAGAGAATTGCTGAGTTTTTCCACTGATAATGAAAACCGGTCTGCCAAGGCATTTTGCAGTTTATTGTAGGTTTTGTGTAGACCGTTTTCAGTGTGATAAACTTTCATTGACGTTTACATTTGGCCATGTTAGCTGGTATCCAGATCTTGCACAAGTGTTTAGTTTTGATGTTATCTTGCCATGATCAAAAGATGGTTGTCTGGCAGGTTCAGGATCCTATAAAGCAAAGAGAGAGGCACTATCAATATAACATGAAGCAAATAATAAATATGAATGTTTTTAAACCATCCAATTGAACTGATTTCATCACATGGTCAAAGACCCCATTAATCAAATGAAAAGAATACAAAATATGAAAAATGGGGAAAATATGACAGTTTTGTCTCACATTTTAGGGTTAATATGAGTGTGGTGAGAGAAACATTTTGGTGTCCCCATTTTATCATGAAGAAATATTAGGCAGGCTTCTTCCAGGTCTCTCCAGACATTCTACCCAGTGATGGCGTAATGCTTGAGCAGAGAATTGTTTGGCAATTACTTCTAACCAAGCTACTTTTCTTAATGCTTCACATCTGGAATCGTTTGATTCCATTCATGGTGACCTTGGTGTGAATCGCTGGCTTTTTTCAAAGAGATGAGCAAATCAATCTTTACATTTAGTAAGAGTCAGGATTGTTTGAACTTTATCCAGAGTATATGTGAGCATAAGTGAAGTGAGTGCCATTATGATGATGATGTCCATTGACCTACATCTTTGCGGTCCTTCGTTAACATGACATCACCTCTGAGCTGTGTGCACTAATGAGTCAGTGTGGATTTGAGGTCACTTTCTGTTGGAATCATTTCTCACTGACAGCCACAGACATTCTAGATTGGATTTGTTTAAAAAGACCATGGGCTTATTGTTATTTATTGATTTTCCGCGTGGCAGCATTAATAGTTAGCATTATGAGAGTTTCAACCATTGCTGTATGATTGATTCTGGTGAACCTAACCAATGGTTTGGTGTGCTAACAATTTGGATTTCCGAGTTTTAGCACTTTCCATGAATAAAGGCCTGAAAATTCAGTGAAAGAAGGTGCTTAATCAAAATCAGATTTATTTTATATATTTAATTATACACTACCATGTAAAAGTTTACAGGCAGTAAGACATTTTGTTTGGAAGAAATTATTCAGCAGGGATGCATTAAATTGAAAGGAACAGTAAGGACATTTTTATAGAAAATGTAGTTTCAAATAAATGTTGTTCTTTTGAACTTTCTATCCATAAAATAATTAAGAAATATTAAGCAGGACAATTGTTTTCAACACCAAATCAGCATATTAGAATGATTTCTGCCACTGAAGACTGAGGTAATAATAACTGCTGAAAATTCAGCTTTGCCATCACAGGAATAAATTACAGTTTAATGAAAATAGTTATTTTGAATTATAATAATATTATAATAAAACAGTTTTACCTGTATTTTTAATCATATAAATGAAGCCTTGGTGAGCAAAAGAGACTTCTTGCAATAACATTACAAAACACACACACACACACACACTAAAAATAAAAATGAACAAATTTAAATGTAAAACAACAACAAAACAGTACGTAACATGGTTACATGTACACTAACATAGTTGTATATGTATGCCAAATTAAGCTAACTAATAGCTAACTTGTGGCACAGTGTGCTGGTTTGTAGTTTTTCATCAACAAAGAAAACTATTTGTTTAATATTTTTATAATAATGTTGGTAGCTGGGTTTAAAGTTTGAGTTTGACAGATGCTGGTCAGTGGTAATAATATACTCAGAATTCCAGTCTTGCTTCTTGGGTGTCA